AAATTGTTTAGGTATAATCTCTATCGACAGGAATATTATTTTTAGTAATTTAAATTCCTATAGGGTGGCCACCCGTCTAAAAATTATTAAATCCGCAAAAGGCTTTATGTTGCTTAGTAGGGTTGCCAACTGCTTTCTCCAAATGCGTATATATACTTACTTATGTACACAATCAGCGCGTGGCGAAGGCGGCTGGTATATTTATAAAAACAAAAAATAATTAAAATTAGATAACAAAAAATTTTATATTCAAAACTTTTGGATATGCGAAGGTCTTATAGTTGTGATAACCACTACAGTTACAATTTAGTTAATTATGAAATTTTATAAAGCCATGGTTGCACTATTCTCTATGATATAGTTTTTGTATTCTGATATTTCATGTAGCATATAACCTCACCTCTCTCTCTCTGGATCTCGAACAACCACTTCCCCTTCCAATCGTTGCGCCATTGATGCCATACATTGCTACACAGCGCTGAGTTGCGTTGCGTTGCGCTGATTTCCGAAAATGTCATTGACTGCAGTTTGCTAAAAAAGGCAACGGCCACCAACAATAAAAAGATCTTACAAAAAGAGCAAAACAAAATAATAAAAACATCAAATGAGCTTACAACAAACACACGAACGCGTGCTTTCGAATGCCGTGCGCATCCTACGCTAAGCGCAGTCCCGAATTACAGTCATACATATGTACATATTTAGCACAGCGCAGGGTTGAACGCTTTGCGGGCGGTTCTCTGACGTTTGCGCCTCAAAAGTTGTTGACCTTCTGCAGTTTGCTCACCCACCCCCTGCAACCAGGCAAGTATGTATGTACATATTTTTGTTTGTAAAGCACACACACACATATTTCCCATTTGCGCACGCTATCCAAGGCAAAGATTGCAATTCTGGACGCAGAAACGACGCGGCAGCGCCAAAGGCTATAAATCACCAAAATAAGCGAAGAATTATGATCAATTCGCTGCGACGGCTAATGCGTAATTTTGCATTGTGTTGCTGTTGTAGTTGTAGTTGTGGTTGTGTGGTTGTGTGGTTGCTGTTGATGTTGTTTGCTTGGCACTTGTTTAAAAACAAAATGTTTCGTAAAGAGTTGATTTTTTGCAAACGGGAATTTTAAAAATATCTACCCAATAAATTGCAGGAAAAACGAGTTCATTGTATCTTAAGTAATAACATTTTCGTGTTGCGCTTCAGTAAATATGCGCGCGCTGATTGCCTGGCCGCTCACCCTGTAATCAACTGAAGTGTGCAAATATAATATACATACATACGCTTTAATACATATCTACATATACATACTTACATGCATACATATCATTCTGGTTAGCAGTTATCGTATTCTGCACTGACTGCATTGAGTAATTTTATTTTTAAATGCTAATTTCTTGAACTTTTTATTCGTTTTAGAAAGCGCAAAAAGGCTGCTTAACGCGCAGTATCCCGATTTAGAGAAAAAATAACTCATCGGAATCACAATGCCAGTACAACGTATGTACAATGTACATAAATAATTGAGTACCAAAAAAAAATGAAATTAAAAAAAAAATCTATCATGCTCAAATTCATACTTAACGACAGAATTTTTGGAAATTGTGGTAATTAAGATTTGATTTATGCAGCTTGAAAATACACATGTAGGTAAGTGCATTAGGGTGGTTCAAAAAAAAAATTTAAAACAGAATTTTATCGCACTCACACCCTAGGATTGTTCTATACTAAAAAACAATATACCCCAATTTTTTTATTTTAAAATCAAAAAATATTTATTTGCCATGTATATATTTTATTTGAAAAAAACTTTCGCAGAAATAGTATAGAATTCTTGAAAATCAATATTTTTCGATCGGAAAACTCTAGTTCTCTTCAGGATCATAATACCCAATTGTTTATTTAACTTTGGAAAATTTTGAGCGCTTTGAGCGACCTATAAATATTTTTCTGGTTTCAAAATAAAATTAAGGGTGAATTATTTTTCAGTACAGAACAATAATAGGGGATGAGGGCATTAAAATTTCGACTTTACTTTTTCACATGCATTTTCGGACCACCATAATGTACATACTCGTAGTTGTGAAGTGTGCTCGAATTAGTTTTTACTCTTTGGGAATTTATTTAGTCATTGTTATTGCAATATTCAGAAGGCTAAGTGGTTACTAAAACATGTTCGTCCTTCTCGCTATCAAATATCGAATGTCTCTTTATTTCGCTAACTATTTACTTTGATGGTGTCCTGGGCAGTCCTGCATTAAGGGCTACACCCATAACTCGGTCACTTATGGTATAGACACAAATCGCCTTATGCCTTGTTTACAGTAATTTAACTAAATGCTTAGTGCAGGTAAACTATCAGGCCGATTCTGAACAGAGACTCCTTGGGAGTTTTCTCTCTTTTCCCTTTCCTCCTATCATAAATAAAAATTCCCTGACAATTTTTTATATTAAGGGCGGAGTTGAGCTGTCAAAAATGTGTCAAACAGCTTTTTTGAAATTCAAATTTCCTCCTCCCAAATTTTCGGAAAAAAGCTACTCCGTGGGAGGTAATTATTGGAGGATTTCTTTCTCGGGAGAAATAACTTCCCGGAGAACGAACTCCCCGGGAGTATTAAGAATTGGCCCACATATAAATACTCTTACATTATTGAATTTTTTATAAAAAATAATGCTTTCTCCAATATTCAAATTATAATCGAACTAGACATCGCGCAGAATCTTCCATTACCTATATACCCTTGTGATCAGCTGATTAAACAGGTGGCAACGCCAAAAATTTTTTCTTTCTATATTTTAAGTTTTGCCTCTAGCAAAAAATCGGTAAAAAACACATTCAATTCCCTGCACTCGTTTTCGGTTGACGCATGTGCAAACATACCGACAGACAGGCAGACAGACAAAAATTCTAAAAATTGCTGATTTGGTTTCTGTAGCACTAAAAAAGACCCCCCATATTAGTTTTTCTTTAATATCTATAATGTACAGACGGATATCTGTTACAGTTCTTTTATATGTATAGATTGCTTTTAATTTTCAATGGCATTGCCAAAGCGAATTATGTCAAATTTTATGTATGATTTAAACAAAACTATTAAAGACATTAGAAATTATAGGCGTGAAAAATAGCATAGTTAACTAAGCATGTTGCTTTGGTTATTTATACTCGTACATACATACATACATACATATGTGCATATGCATGTATGTTTGTGCCTACTAAAATTAAATTGTACTACAATATTAGTAAGTAAGCGAGTTTATTAATATTTTCGAGATGAATGTCTAAATACTTGAAGTTTTGCTTTACGTGCAAATAACTGCTTTCTCTATAAAATCACGAAGCCGGTTTGAAGCGAAAATCACTCATCGAAAGGCTTAAAATGAAAAAAAAATGTAAAAACTTAAAATTAAAAAAACAAAATCGAAAAAGTAGCAGTAAAAGTGTGGCGGCGAGTAGTCAAAAGTCCAAAGTTTTGGCACTATCTACTTATGTACATACATATGTATGTATGTATGTATGTGTATATTTACCACGCCGAAACTGGATCAAGTAGAAAGCGATTGTTGATAATTTGCGTAGTTGAAATTTAAAATAAAATAAAACAGCTGGAAAATGCAGGGAAACGTTAATATTACGCACATATGTTTGTATGTATGTATGTAGGTTGGTGTGCACATGCATACATCCATGCATACATACAATGTAATTGCATACAAGTAGTTGTTCGCATACACTTACGACAGTAATTTATAATAAATACTACAACAACGTAAGAGGAGTACAAGGAAAACTGCAATCAAATTATGATTATAAAAATTTTTAATTTAAAAGCAATAAAAAGAAAATTAAAAAAAAGCGCTGTTTTTCCATTTATCACTCATAAGCCTTAAACGGGTGTGGCGGGTATGCGGCGGGGTGGTATGAGTAACCTCTGATACAGACGGACGGACTCAGTGCGAAGGCTTTAACTGCGTTTGCTGTTGTTGCTGCAGCTGCGTTGTTCACTCGGCTTTGCATGCGTTTGTTTGGTCGTAAGCTAAATGTGCGATAAGTATAAAATGCTGTTGCGAAACTTGACAGCAACAGCAGCGATTGCAACAACAACAACAACAACAACCACAACAACCACAACCACAAAACTAAAAACTCTTCTCTGTATGGAATGCGAGTGATACGAGCAACTCCTCCGAGTCGAGTAAGAGTGCTTGAGTGAGTATGCGTGCGCTACTTGCATTTCGCAGAGCAGCAGAGCAGCAGCAGCAGTTGCAAAAACAACAAATACGATTTTAAAGAAGAAAGAAAGAAGAAAATATGCTCATATAAACATTTACGTAGCTGCGTTGTTCTGGAATCGAAAAATTCAAAAGCTACGCTGAAGCTTAACACATACAAACAAATGTACATATATATATATGGGTGAGTGCATATGTAAGTACGCAAATTTAAGAACAGTAGAACGAGTGAAACGAATGAAAGCCGTTGAAGCAGCAGTGACTACAACAACAACAACAACAAAAAGGGGGGGGGGGGGGGGGGATTTGGTATTAATATGCGTGGTGTGTGTGCTGTTGAGCCGAGCCAATACCGAAAAGAATAAAGAAATCACAACAACAACAACCAAATGAAATTAAAAAGTGCAAAACGAAAGGAAAACAACAGCATTATTATGTATGTATACTGGTGGTAGACGAGAAAACAATTAAAACGTATCGGGCTGGAAGAACGAAAGTCAGCAGATCGATGACGACGACGACGACGACGATCGCAATATGCAACAGCAAGAGCGGGGCAGCGGAGGCAAACAAAAGCTCAAAAAAAAAATACAATAAACGTCGCAGCAGCAACGGCAGCCGCCATATCAGAGATTGGTCGTAGCAGCGTTGGACGTGGAGCGGCGACGGCAGCGGCAGCGGCAGCGGCGATCATTTGTTGTTGTGTGCTGGTGCGATCTGTATGTGTGGCGAGAATATTTCACTTTCCGGCTATAAAAGCTAAAAATCTTTACAAACTCGAGTTTATTAAAACGAGCGCTGTGCGCGTGTTAAGATCGTGTGTCTGCTGCAACGGAAAATGGGACTTTTTTTGGTTGGATCTTTGGAGAATTTTGAAATTAAGGAATAGAAATTGCAATAAAAATTTCAAGGCGAAAACTCAAGGAATACATACATATTTATGCGATGGTGAACTGGAAAGTAGATAAAAAGTGAATAATGAAAAAAAAAAATACATTTCAAAAACGAAAGATAAACAAAAAATTTGGGAGCAGCAAAAATATAATTTTAGTGAATACATGGAATTTACTGCGATTTAAGTCTGCAAAAGAATTTTAAAAATTTCGAAAACAAATTAAATTACCAAGTGGACTGTGAAATGCAAAAACTTTGTCACATTAACAGGTAAAACAGCTTAGCAAATGTCTAAGTGCTTGCAGAAAGGAATTATTTTGTACGCTAACTAGTATTTTTTAAAAAACGGGAAACTCTTAGTGCATCAAAAACACTGTTTATTCGAATTATTATTTTTTGACTAAAATTTGCATGAAATATTATGGAAAATTTGCCAAGAACGTTCAGCATGAAAAATATTTATTAGTGCTCACCGCTTATGCCAGTAAACATATGGAATATATTCAAAAATATAAAAAAAAAGCTTTTGGCATAAAATTTTTGATTCCTCAAAATCTTTGAAATGCTAAAGGAACGAAAAAAAATTATTGAATATGGCACAACATCGAAATCAATTTGTCTCCAAATCAAACTTAAAAAGGGATAACAGAAATTTACTCCAAAATACATACACACGTACAGTGGTGGAAATAATTAAAGCTGCGCCATTTATTGAGAAGTTTTAACAAATTTTGTTTTTTATTCAACAGTTTTTGAGGCCGTTTCTAATGAAAAAAAAATGTTGTGGAAAAATAAGAATAATTTTTTTGTTTGTTATTTAATTTTAGTTATTTTTTTATAAAAATATATTCTTTAATAAAATCCGTGTAAATACAAGTTTCAAACTATTGAATTAAAATATCAATATTAAAAAAAAATCAACACACATACATGTTAATTTGCAGCTTTTGATTTCTAAAAATCCAACAGTAATTTTTAGCAATTTGCAACATGTACTTTATTATACTAGAATTAAATGTCTTACAAAACTGCATATTCAAAAACTAATTCTAAGAAATCTAATTAAAAAGCTCGAAATTTGTACGAAAGTTTAAACCAATATTTACATGGTTTTTGTTAAAGAATGAACTATATTTTTTATAAAAAAATAACTAAATCAAATGCAAAAAAAAAAATTTGAAATCTTATCAATATATGTTGGGGCTATAAATTTTTTGACCACTATATGAATGTGCATTTATATTCGCACCCTATTGGAAGAATTAAAAGTAAACAGATCATATAAATAAATTCACTAAATATAATAATTTTCGGTGCTTAATCATCAAGTCTAGAATGATATTTTTTTAAAGAAAAAATTTCCTTAATAGAGTGAAAATGTTTTTTTTTTCAATTTGAAATAGAGAAATTTATAATTTCTGTTTCGAGAGAAATTGTATTAAGATGACCGCCTATAAAAGAAGAGCTTTCGTTAATGCATAGAAAACTAACAAATATTTTTTGGATATAATGTTGAACTTCATTAAAAAATTTTGCTGATCATATAGTCAAAATATCACATAAAAACAAAAGAAAATAAAATAAAAACGGTTGCTTTCCGCTGCCTCGCGACTACTTTTTGTGTTGTTACAAATGGACCCGTGATCCAGCTTATACCGTGTCAGCTTGATTCCGACCATGCTCCTATAAGTAGAACCAATTAGTTTTATTACTAAAGCGTTGAGGATCGCAGATTTTTGACGAGCTCGAAAGGTATTTATGAAGATGACGTTGCCTGGATTTCGTGATGCAAGATCAACCAAATATATGTATGTTCAAAGTTTAAAAAAAAAAACTCTGTTCGTACTGCTTTCAGGTCAACAGATGAAAAATTGTAAAACTTCTATTTTTCGAGAGCATTATAGGCCATGGAAATTTTATCATATAACAAAATTATTTTTCCTGCATTTTTAATTACTTGGCCTTTAAAGGACCGTTACATTTATTTAGCAAACTACCGAGTGTTTTTCGGCGATGTAAATGCTTACCACAAAAAATCATCTGCCGTCGGGAATTTATTCCATTGGAGTAGAAGTGAGTCATCAAAAGTAGAAAAATCTTTGAGCCAATGGCATCTAAATAGTGGTTGATTTTTTGAGAAAGAAGAAAGTCTATATTCTTCGCTATTTTTTACTTATCATAAAAAGGCTCCTCAGATATGGTACAGTAGTTTTGGAGATTAGGCGTGCATAGATGGACAAACAGATAAGCCAGCCAAATATGCAAAGAGACAAAATATGAGTCAAATTGGAACACAAATACGACATTCACAATAACTTCGACGTCACCAAAAAGAACTACCTGAAGGCAAAAATTTCTATTTATTTGGCTGTGTAGTTTCGGAGAGTAGGTATACAAATATTTAGAAAGGCAATATATTAATAAAATTGTAAAGGAATTTCAAAGCGGGGGCACTTGCACACAAATTTTATCCACATATGAGCAAATCTCACGAGTTGCTACTTATCTTATAAAATGCATTATCTTAAATTGTTTATAAAGACAAGAATCCAACGCGAAATCGTATAATGAAAATTTGAAAAAATATACAAATGCGTGCTCACATACCCGTAGTTGCGTATGTAACGTATACGCCCCGTAGCACCATACGCTGTCAACAAGCTCGTTTACTCGCACGCTTTAACTTTGAAGTCATATTATTTATAAGTCATAAAAATTTGGATTTTGAACCATTATTCCTTATGCACATATATATCACTTTTCTCGTGCACATATATAACGATTTTAGAATGAACTTCGAGTGTGCCAATAAAAATTGTAAAAAATGTAATTTTAGTTTCCAAAATCATAGCCGTCTTTTACTCAATTAGGGCATTCACAAGATGTGTTAACCGTCGTAAAATCTTAAGATTAAACATTTTTGATGTACAATAATGATTAAAATGGTCAAAGAGAATTTATAACCACACCGAAATGTTTTTAAGCTGATACAAAAATTTATAATTAGCCCCTCCTAAAGCCATTTTAATCGTTATTTTATATGAATAAAAATTTTAAGCTTCAGATTTCACTACGGCTAACACGTTTTGTGAATACCATTAATGTATTTTTTTAAATAGTGTTATTGAGCTTCGTACCACGATTTGTTTGTTAGGAAAATTGGTGAAAACAACAAATTCCAAGCGGTAGAAGTTGTAGCTGCTATTTCGAAGATCACCACATTTCCCCATCAGATTTCTTCAGCCGCGGTCACTGGGATATGAAGCAATGACCTCAGAATACAAAGCCAATAGTCTACCCACTGAGCTACATAAGTTCGCCACGTAAACTGTTGTTGATTTTTTCAAACTTTTCACTGATCGAATCTAAACCCAACTAGTAGGGGACCACCTCTGATATACCACCTGCCCTTAAAAAAAAAACAAAGAATTATAAAAATCGGTTAACGTGGTCCAAAGTTATGCGGTAACATATATATATAGTGACACTGAAAAAAAAAACAGCTCGTGAGATTTGCTCATATCAGTGAAAGTCTGCTTAAATTGGGTTTAGACATTGAAGAGACTAATCAAGACTAAAGAAGCAGACGAGCAAAAAAGTTTCCAAAAGAGGATTCATAGTATTTCGTGCGACGGTCATGCAGATTTAATCACGGACCATAACCATTATTATTTTTATGATAAAAATCATACTTTACTCGCTTTTTTTGTGATTCTTATTATTTCGACCATCTTTAATGGTCATTATGTGATTTTTATTTTTTCGAGCATTTTTAATCGTTGTTTTGTAACTTTAGAGAAATCGTTGTTTTGAATTTTTATTTATTTTTGGTCACAAAAATTAAATCTGAAAATAACGGTTATAATATGATCTGAAAAATAAAAATCATGAAAAACTATTAAAAATGATCGGAAAAATTAAAATTGCTGTAAAAATAAAAATTCTAAATAACCATTGTTTTTCCTCGAAAAAGTAAAGATCATAAAAAAAATTTTAAAAATGAACGTAAACCATCAACGATTTTGTAATGATTTTTCCTTCATAACAACGATTATTATCCCTCGATTTATTGTAGTTTGAATTGGTTTACTAGTACATACATTTTTTTTCTCTAAAAAATAAACGATATCAAAACTAATACACTTTTTTTCTAAAAAGTAAAAGATATCCACTTACCTCAGTTCAAAAGAAACGCAAATTATTGGAATTTCCATAAAAAAATTAATAGTCAAAAAGCGCCAAAACTCATGAATAATAATTATTTAAATTCTATAATAATACATATCCCATAAATAAAAATATGTGCATATGCAAAATCGACTGGCGCCGATAAGCACACACTCGGCTCGAAGTACACAGAAACTCGCTTATCAACACCTAAGTAATAGCGAACAAATCGCGTCAACAAACATGCATAAAAATAGAACAAACAAACCACTAATAACCAAGTGTGTATGTACCTATAAATAAGCAATAAAACTAGGAATAGAAAAAGCACACACACACACACACACACAAACTAAAACAGGCATATCTATGGTAAGAGCAAATGGGGAAGGTCGCCAAATAAAACTGAGAGTGTTCTACTGACATAGATTAGTTTTGCCAACACTAACGCACACTGTACCACACACCACTTTCGAAACAACAAATACATAGACGATAGTAAAAATGACGACGTCAAATACTACTAGCAACAACAACGAAAATAGTAAACTCATTAGGGTAAGCCGGCCTCCCAGCTGGGCGCTGATAGTGGCTGGCGCTGTTAGTGGCAGCAGCAGCAGCAGCAGCGGCAGCGGCAGCAGCGGCAGCAACGATAGCGCAGTTGGCAGAAAACAGACTTAGAAACCTTGAAAATGAAATTTTGCAGAGGGAAAACTTAGAGGAAAAACTAATACCAGTGCGGCATTTGAAGTAACTCAAAGCATTAGTATTAGTGAGCGATGAGAGGAAAAACTCACATTTCATTGCTACACACAAACTACAGTCACATTGAGCGATTACTAGGAGAGTTGCTCATGTGCGAACGCTGAGTAGTTTTAAGCGCATTTGAGTTTTAAGTTGATTGAGTGTG